TACATTCTATTCTCCCACAGGTGTCGAACAAGCCATGGTTCAAAGGATTGGACATGAGCCGTGACTCTATACGTGTAAAGGGTGATACGGTCAAAATTTGGTCAAGGGAAAACGCGTGTAAATCGGTGAAATCGTTTATTTAAAAAATCAAATTAAATTTCTTTTTCAAGTTCAATTAGTGTAAAATTCAGGAAAAATATTCAGTTAGGCTTCCGCTTTTCCAAATCCGAATTGCCGGGCCTTACGCTTGACCCCTGCCATCAGATTTTGTACAGCCACCTTGTCCACCTTCTTCGCCGCAGAAAGCCAGTTTGCCTTGAACTGCTGCTCGCCCTTAGCAGTTTTTTTTGGTCTTCTTTAGGTTCCGCTTGACAATAGCCCAGTATTTCTCAATTGGGCGGAGCTCTGGCGTGTTGGGAGGGTTCTTGTCCTTGGGAACCACCTGCACGTTGTTGGCGGCGTACCACTCCATGGCCTTTTTACCGTAATGGCAAGATGCCAAATCCGGCCAAAACAGTACGGAACAACCGTGTTTCTTCAGGAAAGGCAGCAGACGTTTATTCAAACACTCTTTCACGTAAATTTCTTGGTTGACAGTTCCGGAAGCTATGAAAATGCTGCTTTTCAAGCCACAGGTACAGATGGCTTGCCAAACCAGATATTTCTTTGCGAACTTTGACAGTTTCATGTGCTTGAAAACATCTGCTACCTTTCCCCTTCCTTTTGCCGTATAAAACTCCTGTCCCGGAAGCTGCTTGTAGTCGGCTTTGACGTAGGTTTCGTCGTCCATTACCACGCAGTCAAACTTCGTCAGCATCGTCGTGTACAGCCTCCGGGATCGCGCTTTGGCCGTCGTATTTTGTTTATCATCGCGATTTGGAGTCACTACCTTCTTGTAAGTCGATAGTCCGGCTCGTTTTTTGGCTCGATGCACGGTTGTAGACGATACACCCAGCTTATTTGCGGCATCTCGGAGAGAGAGGTTAGGGTTTCGCTTGAAACTACCGGCAACTCTCTTTGTCGTCTCAGCGGCTTCCGGTTTTCGATTTCCCCCCGATCCAGACTTCCTGGCTGTCGACAAACGTTCCCCAAACACTTTAATTACATTTGTAACGGTTGATTTGGCAACTTTTAGCGATTTTGCCAACTTTGCGTGCGAGTAGCTCGGATTTTCGCGATGCGCGAGCAAAATTTTGATACGCTGCTCTTCTTGCTTGGACGGCATTTTGACAACTGAAGAGTGAATTCCAAAATCAAAATAGGAGCAACATTCTACACACACACACCTTCAAAATGAGGGGTGTTCAGGTTTTTTAAATGCAAAATTGAAAGAAATACGTCAAGTTGATATTGACCAAATTTTGACCGTATAACCCTTTAATGTCAAGGCTCATGTCCAATCACTACTCGTTAGACTCGCATTTCTTCCGAATCGGGCTCGCAGGCAGCAATTTGTGCGCTTGTGGTAGTGGCTATCACGATATCGACCACGTGCTTTGGTCATGCACCCTCCATTGTGTTGCTAGATCCGAGTTATCCGCATCCCTCAGGACCCGAGGAAAACAACCTTTGCCCGTTAGAGACATCTTGGCGATCCGAGATCTCGATAAAATTTATGTGTTTTAAAAAGGGATCGATCTGAGGATTTAGTAGTTAGTGACATCTTCTGTTCTCTCAAGTTGCTAGGTCTCCATCGGTGTACCCGCCATGTTTGTCTTTTTCTCCAGAATGTCACTTAGTTCTAGATCAAGAGCACATGCTCTAAAAAACCTTGTGTTCTCAATCCCTACCCTGCCACCCATTTGTTACAATTTGTTACCCCTAACCTAGAGATAGCCGCGAGTAATCGGCCCCCGCTTTCCTAACGTTAGTTTTAAGTAATTTTGTATCCCAAACGATGAATATCGGCTCCGCAAAGCTATGGAAAAGCATCCAACAAAATATCTCAAATTACTGAACATGCAGCAAGATATAGTTTTGCTGGAAGCCATTCAGCAATTTGTTTTGCTGGAACTCGATTTCAAAATTTGGTATGTGCTGATGGTTTTCCTTGCTAATTCATTCATGGATCGCCCCGTCGTGCGGCTTTTTTCACTTCTGTGTTTGTGCAAGGGTTCCAAATCACATTGTTCTTCAACCTGGAGCATGCTTACGCACAGATACATGCAAAAGCCAGTTGATTGCTTAGGAAAACGAAATCGCGTTGAAATGAAATTGCGTTACAAAAAAATGATTTGCATTGAAATAATGCATTTTACAGGTATATTGTCTTCGGAGGAAATGTTCCTAACAATATTTTGAAACGATCTACGGGAGCAAAATATGACCTTTCATACGAAATACATGTGTAATTGATAAGCAAAGTTAGCGACCACTATAATTGTGGTCCTAAAATTGAACTTAGAAAATGGTATACAGAAAATTTAAACAATAAAACAATCCTGTAAAAATTGCTAGAGATAGCAATATTAGTTTTTTTAATTTTGCACGGAAGAGTTTTTTTGATTGAGCGCTGCGTTATTTTGTAGAAAGTCGATGAAGTGAGTCATTCTAAACCGATCCACTTTAACCTTAAAACAAAGCTTTCCTATTATAAGCCTGGAAATCAGCGGTTAAAGTTCTGGAAAAACCTTGAAAAACTCAAGGAATTTAATTTAGCCAAATGAGTCGACACCCCCTGTAGATAGAGAAAGATGATTAAACGTCTAAAACCTCTGCAAGAAGAATATGGCTCAATCTTGAAATAAATTCACGCTAATAAAGTTGAAAATAGTGACTGATTATAAGAAAAAGTTACTTTACTGACTTGGCCTTAAAAAAGGATACTTTTTAGCGACTGACTTGAAAAAAAATGACCAAGCACTCAAAAATGACTCCCTATCAGCCCTGCCCTCATGAGAACCAGCCTGATATCCTCCGACGAACTATACGCCTTTTTAATGCACCACCAACGTAGAGTGCGCCACGCGAGATCGAGAAGAAACGTCAACCAAACCGTTTGTTTACATCAGAATAAGTATTTTCCCCAACGCAAATACCAGCATTTTTCATTCAAAATCTTGCCAATTTCCATCGGTAATTGTCTTATTGTACGATTTTCCACACATTTGAACTGATTTGCACCTTAACTATTCATACACAAGAAATCCGGAAGATCATAACCACTAAGGCATTTTTCTAATTATCCATTTTTCTCAACAAAAATATTGCTGAACACCAGCAGGATCTTTTCAAAAACGTTACAGAATTAAATTTTTCAACTGTAGATTAAGTTTTGCTTATCAGGAAACGTAAAAAAGTGTTCCGCTTCCTATGTCTCAAAGCAAAAATTTATGCTCACAACACTCTTTTTGACGTTCTCCTATTCACCACCAGAAGTTGAATCGATCGTTTAGTTTCTATTAAAAAGGCCTATTGCTCGGTCATTGGCGACTGGAGTCTCTTTTTAAATAGAGGACAAACGAGGCCTTCCAACAAGCTAGCGGGCAGCTCTTTTTGCTCCCGCATCTCAGCAAAAAAAAAACGGGAACTCAATCAAGCGTATTACGTATGAAATGGTAATGACCTCTTCCCCATCCATATGATTCGTGTGTGCGATGGATTACTCTCTTTTATTACAAGCGTTACAAACCATCTTTAACAACATCTTAAAATTTGTAGGTACACCAATATAAATGCATCGATCTATTTTTTGAAGTTTTTGCTGAGTTAATTGGCAAATCAAAGTTGGCACTCGTGGAGAATAGAAGAACTATGAAAGTGATGATGGTTTCAAAGATTTCCTCAGGGAAGGTATACGAGTGCAATCCTTAAATGCTTTTATTTTGCAAATGGAGCATTTTATTTAAATCTGCTTTGTGCTACAGTGGTAGAAAAGCTGATATCTATGTATGCACCTAAAAATCTGAAATGAATTTTTTTCTATATTATATGTCTATTAAGTAGTCCTTAAGTTTTCTACTAACGTAGCATTAACCAGATTTAAATAAAATGTTCCATTTGCAAAATAAAAGCATTTTAAGATTGCCCTCGTATACCTCACCGTGTAAAATTTTGAAACCATCACTCTCATAGTTCTTCTATTCTCCACTAGTGCCAACTTTGATTTGCCAATTCTTGACGCGTTTCAAATGTCTTTATGTCCATTGGCCCAGTCGTGAACGAGAGGATACTCATCAAACGCTCTTCAGGTAATACAAGGTACTCTGGGGCAACTTAACGTGCGCGAGGAAGTTGAAACAGATACAGAGATAAACATATTTTGTAATTTTCAACTACAAACTGGAGCAGGTTTTTGAATATAAAATTGCACGTTTGACGATCAGTAATTCAATGAGTTGAAGCTGAAATTTACACGTTCGTTGAAAATTCAATTAATTTCAATTGGACTTTTCACTGTTATGTAAAAACACAGATGCATGTACAATTCAATGCAAATTAATGGATTAATAAATACTATCACGTAAAATTTATGTTGAATTGCTGTATGTTTCACTAATGCCAGAAAATAAATCAATGTGCTAAAACAAAATTACAAAATTCAGCGGCATTGCGCACTAGCGCAAACTTCTGTACAGACATTATCACGTCCAATTGTATTGGTGCACTATCTCAGAACTGTGGTAGTGAAAATCCGAGGAAAATACAAAACAAACCGCTGTCAAACACATTTCGACTGATCAAAATCAATAGATTTTGAGGTTAGTACCCGAGGAAAGTATTAAACAACTTTACACGGCGATAGGTCCGCTAGTGTGCGTGCGTTAAACGTCATTAATCTCTATTAAAGCTATTCATTATGAGAAACGCCTTCCGTTTCACCTTCCCCACGAGGTTTCAGCTTACCCCGGTGTTCCTTATATCTATGTAGAGAGTTACTGCATAGCTCCCACAGAGAGGGAACGAACGAGAGAGGCCAGTTGCTGTAATTATTTTTCGTTACAAGAGGATTTTATTCAATTCTGTGCATACACACATGTACCTACTCTGCTAGCAGTTAGAGCGTCGCGGCTGATGTTAGTCACCGGTCAGGCAGTTTCATAACATCTGCTCGCACAACTGTCTCAAGTGGAGCGCGATGTTTTGGTGGATCGGAGTGTACGCTGTTCTGCTGTGGGCTTACAACAGCTTCCTGGAGTCGCTTTCCTCCGTCATCTGGGGAACGATTCGAAGTGTTGTCCGAAAGGAAAAGCTATCCCAACGCTATGGACCTTGGGCAGGTATGTTTTGTGCTTTAATTCAAATTAAGTGATTTCAAACGTGGAGAGATTTGTATTGCAGTCATCACCGGGGCAACGGATGGCATTGGCAAGTGCTACGCAGAGTGTTTAGCAAGCAAGGGACTCAATATAATGCTTATCTCACGAACGGAATCCAAACTGATAAAGGTGGCCAGCGAAATCGAGCAAAAGTATGGAGTCGAAACACGATGGATCCAGGTGGACTTTTCTGATGGCCCTCACATTTACGCTGATTTGCGTGAAAAGCTCGCCTCGATCGATATTGGGTTGCTAGGTAAGTTTAAACGACCTTCCACCACCTAATGCATAAATTCGATTCTCTTCGTTTTTTTTTAAAGTGAACAACGTTGGCTTTCTGCCGGAGCTTGGATCTTTTGCACAGAACACCGAATCTGATCTCCTGACCTTGATCAATCTGAACGTAATGGCTACAACGATGCTGACGCATATGATTCTGCCTGCGATGAAAAGTCGCCGGCGGGGCATTGTAATCAACGTAGCATCAAGTTCGGGCTATGTGCCAATACCTTACCTGACGGCATACAGTGCATCCAAGGCGTTTGTGGTGAACTTCAGTTTGGCCCTGAGTCATGAGCTTCGGGGCACTGGCGTCGAGTGTCAGGTCGTGTCACCATCGATAGTACAAACCAACATGGCCCATCAGTACACGGATGGTATTCCGTGGTACGTGCTTGTGCTGGAACCGGACCAGATGGCACGGTGGGGAGTGTTCACCATTGGAAAAACGGCACACACATGCGGTCATTGGTTGCACTGCTTACAGGTTTGTAGCGATTGGATGGGAATGGGTTTTGTATTAGACTCTAACATCATTTGATTACAGATTATATGGTGGGCGTTCCTTCCGTTGACACTGGCCATTCGATTCGCTGGTGGTCTCTTCGTAAAGGATGTCAATAAAATGAAATAGTGTGCTGTTGAGAATGATCTCCCAACTTGTCCTAAGCCCAGAGACAGAATCCGAATAGCCTTGTCTGCACAACTGTGGATCGAATTTAATTGATCGAATTGAATCAAACCTCTAGTAATGTTTTGCAATTGAATTCCAAACTCGAAAATCTTTTGGTAGCCTAATAAACGCTCAATAATACAAAGTGGAAAAAGCCCATAATTTAATGCGAAATTACCAATAAACCTGTTTACTCAAAGATGAAAAATAAATTCCTTGATATTCCCTGAATTTCTAGTCATTTTTTTCTGAAAAATTTCGAAGCGAAGGAAATCCAAGCTTTTTTCATAAAAAAACGCGGTTGTACAGCTTTGATATTAGACCTAACTGTAAAATTATTCGCTTTCATAGTTTTCGGCTACATTTGCCGGATTAGGGCAGGCACTCTGCTTCCCGGACGGCTATACGTGTGTGATTGGTGGTTTTCTCGCTTTCCGAGAAGTTTTAGAATCGAGAAAGAAAGTAAGATTCATCATGTTTGCAAGCATCAGAAGATTTGGCGCTATCTGCATTGTTTGATTTTTTTTTCTCCCCGGACCAGAAATTTGTGGCATCGCCAGTGATAATTTTAATTTCAGTTTATGATGTTGATTCGTTCGCAACTATTTTTGAAAAAAATTAATTGTTTTCGATCGAAAGTGTACTAAAAGTGCTTTTGAACGTGTTTCGCAGTTGGGTGTGATGAAATTCGTGCATTCCCGGTTGATTTTAAGTGGAAAATCCGTATCACAAAATTGCCAACCGATACCTTTTTTTGCCGTTCGACGACGACGGGTATGCTTTCGCGAGAGTGACGTTTATTATTGAGTCCGTTTCTTTGAACGGCTGTGTTTTTTTGTAACCAGCGGTGTAAGTGTGCCTGCGAATGGCATTGCCTCTTGGGAGGCCGGTTCACCGTGTTTGGATGTCACGCTTTCATCGAGTAGTTCTATCGAGAGTCTTTCAGAGACGATAGTTTTTGTTGAACTGCAGAAGGATATAAATCGTCCTCTAATCTATGGGAGCTCTTCGAAATCGCCGTGAAGTCATGGATTCCTTTGCAACATATCGGGTGAGATCTTTCCTTTATTGTCCATTGTTATATGACACATTATATGCTGGGTATAAGACGGTCCAACCAGGGCACCCGATTGAAGCGATTTAGATGGGGAGAGTGGAATCGCCAACGTCCTGTCGTTAACAGATCGTGAATTGAAGGCGGGCTCTTCTTTCCCACTCATTGGGACATCCCCTAGTGCGATGGCTTGTACATTACCGGGTTGTAGGATTTTATTGTTGGAAGGAGATTCTCTTTGATCCCGCGAACTAAGCATAAGTGTCTCTGCTTACAGGTTCACCCTCCGTTTTTGGCCCTTCATAAAAATGGTAAATTGAATACAATCAGGTGTTGTACTTGATCAAGTCGTACGAGGTGGACAGTCTACTGTCTAATGGTTGTTTATTTATTTATTTCGTCAACCAACGTAGACTAGTACAATTAATATAGTTTTGTTTTCTTAAATATATATTTATATAAAAAAGTAGTGTCAGCTTTCTTGTCTTTTCTTTTATGAGTTGTTATTTCTTATGGAATAAAAATATTGCTTTAGTTTATGCCGAGACATTGTAAAGTCAATGGTTTCGCAGTGTTTATTGTAAGAGGCCATCATGCGGTTTAATGGCCCATATTTTGCATAATTTGTGCGATGATGTTTTATGGCAAATAAATTTCGATTTCGGAGTTGCCGAGTGGGTTCATGGAAATTTAATTTTGATAAAAGTTCTGTTGAGTCAATTCGCTGCGAAACGATATCATTTACAAATGAAACCATTGCATATTCACGACGCTCTTTTAATGTTTGTATGTTTATAAGCATGCAGCGTGCTTCATATGATGGAAGAGGAAATGAAGTCCAACCTAATTTACGAAGAGCGTATAATAGAAATTGTTTTTGTACTGATTCTAATCTTTCTTCGTGTGTGATTGAAAATGGAGACCATACAATACTGCAATATTCCAGTATTGACCTCACATAGGCAATATATAGTGTTTTAATTGTGTAAGGGTCCTGAAAGTTATAGCAAAAGCGCTTGATAAAGCCTAGCATGTTATTTGCCCTGTGAATAATTGTATTGTAATGGTCTATGAAAGTTAGCTTAGAGTCTAAGATAATTCCTAAATCCCTAACTCTTTCACATTTGTCTACAGTTTGATTTCCTAATGCAATTGAAATATTTGAAGTTGTTCTTTTTCTACTAAATGATATTAAGTTACATTTTTTTACATTCAATTCTAGTAGACTTTTTTTGCACCATATGTAGAATATGTGTATTTCATTCCGGAATATATTGATGTCTTCTTCATTTCTTATTTCCAAAAAGAGCTTCATGTCGTCGGCATAAATAAGCAATTTAAGTTTTTTGAGAATGTAAGATATGTCGTTTACGTATAGAATAAAAAGGAGAGGTCCCAAATGAGAGCCTTGGGGGACGCCTGAAGTGACTTGAATTGGGCTCGATTTCTTTCCGTTGAATTTAATTATTTGTTGGCGGTTAGTTAAATATGATTCAAGCCATTTCAGGAGCCCTGACTTAATTCCAATTTTTTGCAGTTTAAAGAGTAACATTGGTATGTCAATGCGGTCAAATGCCTTGCTAAAGTCTGTATAGAGAGCTTCTACGTGGTTTCCATTATCCATTGCATTCAATGAATAGTCTATAAATTCAAGTAAGTTGGTCGAGGTCGAACGACCCTTGAAAAAGCCGTGTTGCATGTCAGTAATTCTATTTTTGATTTGGAGAAATAATTTTTCGTTGATAATTGACTCGAAAAGCTTAGGAATGCAAGAGATAATGGCTATACCACGATAATTACGTACGTCAGATTTTCGACCAGATTTAAAGATAGGTACTAGAAATGAGCTTTTCCAAATTTTAGGGAAGGTTCCGGATTCCAGGGACAAATTAAAAAGCCAAAACAATGGAGCAGTGAGTTCCATTGCTAGACATTTAATAAATACTGGAGGAATTCCGTCAGGTCCAGGACCTTTTGAGGCATCTAAATTTTTTAAAGCCTGCAAAATGTCCTGCACTTGAAGTTGATTGAGGCCAATGTCCCTTGAAAATTCTGGATAAAATGCAAAATAATCGCGGTCACGATCTTCTTCAGAAAATGTCGTATAAATTTCTTGAAAAAATTTTGCGAATAGATTACAGTTTTTTTTTCCGAACTATCACCGACATTTTCGTCTAGATGCATTATTGAAGGAAAATTGTCAGATTTTAATTTCGTTTTTACGTAATTAAAGAAGTTCTTCGGACAGGACTTTATTTCACGTTCAGTTTTTGCATTATATTCTTCAAATGCAGTACTGATAGCTAAATTCAGTTGATCGCATAGATCCAAATAAATTAATAAATTATTACTACTATTGTGTTTTTTATAAATTTTATGTGCTTTTTGTTTCCGATTTTTCAAGTTTTTTATTTGTCTGTTTAACCAGACTGGATTTTGTGTGTTTCTGTTACGTCTTTTTTTCTTCAAAGGTATTTCTTCCGAAATTATTTCTGTTAAAATTTTGTAGAACACGTCTATACCATTTTCGACATTTCCTACATTCCTTAAAATTAATTGCCAATTGACACAGTTTAATTTAAATTTTATTTTTTCGTAGTCTGCTAATTTGTATTCAAAGACTTCTTCGTATTCGCAGTCGTTGGGTCTTTGGTTTTCATGCATAAATAAAGAATATTCGATTGCTGTGTGAAACGCTTCATTTTTCCACAGTGGATTTAATGATTCGGTCACACAGAAATCTTCATAAATATTCGTTAGTAAAAAGTACAAATAGCAATTTTGTTGGTTTTTGATGTGGTTAATTTGGTTCAGTCCTAAATTAGCAGTTTTGTCAAAAATGAACTGCAATGTTTCATTATCCCCAACGACTGGGAGTAAGATACATTCATTTTCAGAGTCCAGAATGAAGTCAGCATGGCGTTGATTAAAGTCTCCATAGATGTGAACTTTAACCTCAGGAGGAAGGTCAGATAGAATTTGTTCAGCACTTTGGAAGAAGGCTTCATAAGTGCTTTTATGAGCATGGTCTGGTGGAAAATACACTGAGGCGAACACGTGCGTTTCACCGGCTATGTGTGATTTCACCCAAATATGCTCAAATTCTGTAAATTTTGGTGTAAAGATAATTTCTGAGTTAAAATTGGCCGAAAGAGCTATAAGAACTCCACCACCTGACTTCTTCTGTGTTGCATGAAAATTTCTGTCGTCCCTGAATACATTAAAGGCATTTCCAAAGATTTCTTCACTTTTTACGCTTTCGTCCCAGCTTGTTTCAGTTGCCAGAATGACCGAAAAGGATGAGCATAATAAATGTTGATAAATTTCCTTCATTTTAGCTGGGCTTTTCATGCGATTGAAATTTTGACAATAAATCTAAATTTCAGTCGCATTCTGTCTGTGTGAAGAGATTGTTGGAAATACGTCGGTTGATAAAGTATGTTCATTGTTATTATTAGTTACCTCAGTCTCATGCCGAGCATCGTTATATAGAAATAATGGATCTTCCTCAAGGTGCGTCAGCGGCGTTGAAAATTTACAGGATTGTAAAATTTGAGGGCGGCCTCCCTAGTAGATTGTAGCCGTTGCGTGCGTTCACTGGACAGGAATGTACGGTAGGATTGCAGGTCTGCCAAGGCGTCGTTTCGAGTAATTCCAAGTTCTTCATGGACGTCCAGGAAAATTTCGTGCAGGAGATTTCTGTCTTTTGGTAGTCCTTCAGCTGCTAGCATTAGAATAGCACTGGTTTTGGTGATTCCGCGAATACATGTTGATGATGGCTGGTCATGCAGGAAGGAGAGGTAGGTCCGAACAATGTCCATAATTTTCGGGTCCCTTAGACGCGCCTTCAGGAAGCGTTGGTCGCCAGTTACGGACTGTTCAGTAAGTCTCACTATTGGCGGACACATGGG